GGACAAGTAGGACTCCCTTACCAGGGCAAATAAGCTAACAAAATGGGCCCTTATCTGTTTTCTGCATTTATATTGCTTCATCAGCATTGTATTTTAATGTCTCATAATTTTTAATCTATTCACCATTACAGCACCCTTAGGACATATGGCTGTGCTAGTCTGAGCATTTGAAAGATGAAGAAATGAAGCATAAAGAAGGTAAATGATTTGTCCAAGATTCTCTAAAAACCTGTGTCCTGTGTTTCAGGCTATTGTCCTCTCATACTTTTGCTCTCACTTAATCCCTGCATCTACAATATGAACAGATGGTGGATTGGTGGGAAGGGGTCCTCTGTAGTAATGCAGCTCCCCTCTTTCTTCACACTGGAAACTTCTGTCTTGCAGCCATTGTTGTTACTTTGGCTTATATGGATTCTGAAGGTCCTCTCAACTCAGAGCAAGATCTTTCATATTTTCTTTCGTGAAGAAGTAGTTCATTTCCACCTGCAGCCAGAACCTAGGCAGAACAGAGGCACAAAAATGGAAAATGGAGCAGAAAACTAAGCAGACCTTTCTAAAGGCTGCCCGAAGTATCAGGAACAAAACAGAAGAAATTACCGTGTTATTTAAACTTAACCAAGCTTTGTCTGCCCCAGCTAGGGTCTGTTCTCCATCAAGTCAGATTCCAAATTACTCCTGATAAAGAATTGTGAAGACAGGCCAGAGTGAAACATGCCTAGCTTTGAATTAACCTTCAGGCTAATCTCTGTTCTTGCTGCAGTGATCCTGCAGACTACTGAGTCATTTTTTAAAGGTACCATGTGTCCTGAGTTTCCCTCTGTTCCTTGAGCACTCTTTGTGCCATCAGTTCTCTCAGTGGCACCACTGGCTACTATAAAACAGCAGACTTGATAGTTTATATTTTTTCCCTTTTTCATAGTTAATTCAGTATATTATACAAGGCTGACATTTCACTGCTTTCCATCACACCATACACATGCTCAAGGCAGCCTTTTCTTGCTCCATGGGGGCTGTGAGAAGCAGACAGGTGACTAACCCAGGGCCGTGGCTCGTTGCATGAGGCAATAAAAGGGGTAAAGATAAGATATTCTGAACAGCACTGTGTTACTTGGGACACAATAAAGAGAGAGTGAAGCCTTCTTTGATACTTACTGATGTTTACATACCATGTAAGTATTATTATCATCAAAAATCCCAACTTCCTTTTTTTTGAACATACTGTCTAAACAGGAAAAAGCTAATCTTCCTGTTTGGAGAACTTTTAGTTTCAGGGGGAATATATTTTTCTCTCTTACTTGCAGTTTTCAAAGATTTTGTTTTTAATACAAATAGAAAAGACAAACAATAGGCTATCTAAAAGGAAGGAAAAACAATTCTGAAACAAAGTGTCTGCTATGAATAGATAGTCTTTGCCCTACGGAATAACTCATGTCATACCTATACTGACTTTTGCATACTGAAAAGGAAATGTAGACTAGTTTTTGGCAAGCAGTGTGCTCTATGCATACAGTACAAAAAGCAAAGGTGAGATAACGGGAAGACAAACCTGTCAATCTCTGTGCAAGCAGCAGACCTTCAAGACTCTGTGTTTTAGCAGGCATGGTGATGGTGGGTTTCTGGTTGCACTTGATGATCTTGAAGGTCTTTTCTAACCATAATGATTCTATGAGTCTACAATTCTCTTCTCATGGAGTCAAAGCCCCCTTTCTATGGCAAGATACTTAGCCATATGTACTCTTCCTAACTTTGGTGATCTTGGTGATCCAAAGCCTCGGATGTGCTACTTCTCCATTTGCAGCGCCCTCACCACTCTTGCCACTCACTTATGATGTATTGCTGTTTGTCTGAAAGGGTGAAGTGTTTTGCCAGGTGAGTCCTGCATCGTGATTTAACTGGGCTGCTGGTATTCACAGTCACAGCAAAAAAAGAGTATGTTAAAGCCATTGTAAAATAATCAGCACCACATGAAATGGAAAAAGTGGGATACAATAATCTGAATTCCAGATGCCCTCTGGCAGTGAGAGGTAGGACAGCTGTCATGCTGAACAAGACCCAGAAGTCAGCAAATAGGCTGAGTTAATGATGTGACACACACACATAAAAGTAGTGTGATTCTGAGCAACATACACAGGAGCATCCCACTCTAGCCACAGAACTGTCTGTGCTCTGGCCTATGCTGGTGTTTTCCACAGACAGTAGCACCACTGCTGAGCTGGGTACAATAATGAGCAGCAAGTGTAAATTAACAACAAAGGTCCTGGTGATAGATCTGCTAGCACCATGAACAGTCTCTAAGAGGAGGGATTAGCAAAACCGTATTTGCTGGGGACAGTGGGAATGGATCGCACAAATACATCAACGCTGCCACATCCAGTTGGCAGCCTGTGTGACTGAACAGAGGCAGCTCTTTTGGAGGACCGCACAGTTAGCAATCTGACAGTGAATGTAAGAGTCTGGTACTTTGACTTCTGTTGTTCCCCTCTGCGGGAACATGTCTGGAGACCCTGGTTGCGGTTCTGCACGCCTTCATTTCCCGCAGGCAGGAGGCTGTGTAACCTGCGGGCTCTGGCCAGGCTTGCTGGCTGTGGTGGTTGCACAGCACTGCCTGCTTTAACCAGGTAACATTCACAAAATATGAGGCAATGGTGGGAGCAGGCACTTACCATTAAATATCACAGCTGATACCCTGTGGCACTTGAGTCACTGTTCTCTGAACAGTCCCTGTGCTGCTACTGCAAATAAATTCACCAGCTTCCACCTTAATAGCTTGCTTTAGAGCCAGTGTCACACTTCACACCCTATTCTGGATGCTCTCCAACAAGTTAATGTCTTTCACTGAGTAAGGTGAGTAAAAATGATGAGAGTATCCTTAACTAAAGAGCCATAAAATTCTAATAGAGCAGTAATGTTCCCAGTGAGCCTAAAGGGAGTCTGATCAATAGCCATGAGGCAGAGGCTCGATTTATGGCTTTAATTCATTGGGCATAGTCATTCTCCATTTTTGTATGGGGCACTTTTGTGGTTTCTGCTGAGCAGAGTAGCATAAGGGCTGCACGCCCTTTCTTGACAATTCCCCCTGGATTTGTTATTTAAGAAGTAGTGACTCCACAGAAGTGCTGATAAGGGTCCTATGACCTATTTGAAGAGAATTTTTCATTGTTTAGGACAGACTGTACCAACTATATTTGCTCTGGGAATCTAGAGCTTGGAGTGGTTTCACAGTGAGTGAAAAAGTTATTTCAGATCCTATTAAAACTTCCCATTGAAGGTACTTACATGCCTATGAACCACTTCACAAACAGGAATGATCCAGTAGCATCCTCTCCAAAAATCCTTTCCTGATTTTGCCCACCCTTTATGGTAGAATTTGCCAGGAGCCAGATGGGAGCTACCTCTAATGGCTTTAAGCTGCTCTGTGGTACAAGGAAGTTTTTCCACTTCTGATCTCCTTAAGCTTCCAAAGTGGTATGTAAAGACTGATGCAGAGGATGAAATTTCATCCAACCGCTTTTACCTTCTTGGGAAATTCTTATTAAAGTCTTCATATAGAAAGGTCAGAACTTTCCAAAGACTGAGGTAAATCCAAGTTTTATGTTAGCCCTCTCCCACCAGCGGGATAAACATGAATTAGACAGAAATAACAGAAATATTTTAAATTAAGCACCAAAGCCTTCTGAGAGCCATTTCAGTAATTTCTGCATCTCCTTGTTCAATAGTTCCTACATACATAGATTAGCTGAAGAGAGTTTTAAGTATCTGAAGTGATAGGAGTGCGTTATAAATACACAGAAAGGTCCTAACCGGTGAGCGTTCTCAGTCAACACTTGCCCAAATATGTTTGGACAGTGAGGCTCATTCGAAGGCAATTTCTCAGGTGCATTTAAAAAAACAATCCCCTCTCTTACAGCACGTACAGCTCCGTAACTGCTGACAGCCGAACCCTGCAGGACCTGGTGGCTGGACAGCCTCGTCCCCGCTGGCTGCCCGTCGCTGCAGTGTAACGCAAGTATTCCCGGCGCGGCGCGGCGCCCGCCTGGCGAGGCCGCCCGCGGCTCCGTGCGAGCGCCACCCAGGGCTTCCTCAGTGCGGGCCGGGCCGCGGCGTCCCCGCAAGCCTTGCCAACGTGTGACCCCTTCTGCCTCCTGAATGACTACACAGACTGAGAGGGCAGGGATATTTTTACTGCAGGAGTTACAGCAGAACAAATCATATGTAGGGCCACATTCAGAGCAGCCACAGGTTCACCCGTTTTCGAATCACTTGACGAACATGCTACAGCCAAAATAAAGGGCGCAGACCTTATAGCAGTGCACACTGAGTCAGACTTCTATTACAATGACCCTCATCAGCTCCCCGAAGATACGTACCTGGGCAAAGCAGTGGCACAAGTTTTAGAGGAAGGCTAAGGCACCAGATGCCAGAAAACTATTTCAACAGGGCGTGCGGCACTCTTGGCTGCTGAGGTAGTTTGGTGCTCGCCGCTCTTGCGCGGGGCCTGTCCCACACGGCCGCTGCATCCTGCGAGAGCCGGCAGCAAAACCCCTCTGTTCCAGTTGAATTAGGCTAAATGAGGGGTAAGGAAGTAAACAAAACCTGTGTTCAAGGGTAAAGCTGGGAAAGACTGGTGGTTCTTTGGAACAGGGCATGAAAATTACAGAGGTCAGAAAGCACAGGAGAAAGTAACCCATGGACCTGCGAGCAGGCTGGGCCACACAGGAGAGCAGATCCTGGTGCTGCCAAGTTTCTCATTAAAGTTTCTCAAGCTGACAAATACAAAATGCGAAGCATCCATGATTCATTTGATCCCTCTGAAAAAGTCTCATAGTCCATAAAATAATTGCACTTTCTTGTATTTGCAGGTTTCTTTCAATCTGCATGTTTCTTAATATCTAAACCAAAACGGTTGCATTTCTACCTCCTTTTGGAAGGAAAGCTGAAGAAACTTGTGTTTCTTCCTCCCATAGCACAGCTGCTTTGGAAAAGCAGCAACCCATATAGCATCAGCGGGAGACTGCTGCTACAGCCTGCAGCTCTATATCACTGGCTTTCCTTTGCACTTTTTTTTCTTTCATAATTTGGCTGGAAAGGCTATCTAAAAACCAATCTACATCTTGATAGTCTTCAGGCCACCGCAAATACCGACTCCTTTGCAGGAAGTTTCGAATTGGCTTGTGTTTCCTCAGTTGATACTGGGACAGCGACCCAACCACTACCATGATAAGGACATCTTTGAGATCAGAAAAGTACCTGCTCTGGGCAAAATTAAAGGCTTCCACACACCACCCATCTTTGAGAAACTGCCTTGTCACAATGCAAATTGTTTTCCTGCTGTTCCAAATGGCATCACGAATATTGTTGATATGGTCTTCTCCAGGCAAGAAATCTCTTTCCTCAAAGCACAAAGTAAATCTGTTTTTGCCAAAATACTGTGCATCCAGGCGTTTAAGTAAAGCATGCTGGACCCATTCAAAGTCATTTCTGCTGTAGCACAAATATGCATCGTATCTATACTCACTTGTGTCAGTTGCTTGTTGATGGCTGTCTATCAAAGTTCTTGTGACAGTTTTATACCAGACAAAACAAATCCCCCGACAGCGAGTAAAAATGATGACTGCCATCTGAAACATTACCAGGGTGACAGAGGTGAAGATGAATACTGAGAGCCTGAGAGACTGCTGGAGTTCATCTTCCTCGCAACCATCATAGAGCAGAGAAGAGAGAGGAACCCGAGCAAAAGCAGGTGGGTACACACAGTACCTGTCAGCGTCTGAGCCAGCAAGGGTGACATTGGTTTCATTCAGCCACAGTAAAAGGTTCTTCAAAGTACAATCACAGACATAGTTATTGTGTGTTATATCCAGGATACTCAAAGTCATAAAGACTTCAGGCTCAGGGGAGAAAAGCTGGTTTCCAGTCAAGTTTAGGATTTTTAGGCTTTGTGGAAAAACCCCAGGAGACAGATGAGACAATAGATTGGAAGCTAGATTAAGTCTCCTTAGAGATGTTAGACCTCTAAAAGCCTCTTGTGGAAGAGCACTGAGGTAATTGTTATTCAGATGTAGAACCTGCAGTTTGGAGAGTGCCCTGAACACATCCAAACACACATGTCTCTCCCACACAAGCTGTAGCATATTTTCTCCTAGATCTATATAGATTATCTGATTGTTTTCTATAACATTTGCTCTTTTCACACAGTAAGAAAAGCGATTCTGTTTTAAGAAGATATACTGCAAGCCTGGAACTTGGTAAAGAATATACAGATCACCCAGGTTTGTCAACCAATTTCTTTCTAAATCAAGATATGTTGCAACTATTGCACTGTCTGCTACAGACATTAGCTTATTGTCACCTAAAAAAGCAGTGGTCAGACTTGGAAAAGAAGGTAGATTTTTAATGGCATTGTCTCGAAGATCAATTATTTCCAGATTTACTAAACTACTGAATGAGTTTTGACCAATCATCCCAATATGGTTTTGCTGTAAATCAATGTACATTACACTACGCAGATCCTCAAAAGTATAATCATACAACTCACCTAAGAGATTATCTGAGAGATTGAGAGTTTTTAGGTTTTCCAAGCCATAAAATGCTCGCCTTTGGATCTGATTTATCTTGTTTCTGTAAAGGTTTAAAATTTCCAAATTACGAAGGCTTTGAAATATTAAAGAATTGAGAGAGAAAATGTAACCATGTGAGATGTCAAGCAAGCGAACACCACTTCCTGCTAGACCTGTAAATGTATTTTCATCTGGATTTTTTAAGTTATCAAAGCCAAATCCTGAACCCATTGTATGAGGACTCAGTTTTAAAGAACTGATTTGAGTCCCTTTTATGGCTGTACAGAAATACTGTACTTCCTCTGTGCTCCAACCACTGAAACCAAGATCCAGTGAGTTCAATGTAATGTTTCTGAAAGGATTTGGGCATTTGGCCCAGGCCATTTGACTTGTAAGATATAACATATTAGAATTGAGGTTAAAAAATAAAAATGTTTTTCCTTGGAAGCTTGTGAGATTGCTTTCACACAGGTCGGATATCTTGTTGAATTTCAGGTTCACACTTTTCAAGACCGTTAGGTTACAAAATAAGGGATGAGGATGAAGTTTTGTGATTTGGTTCCCCAAAAGATCCAATTCTTCTAAGGACCTCAAATCTTGAAAGTAGCGTTCTGTCAGGATGGAGTTTCCCAGATTATTGTAGAACAGTCGGAGTACAGTCAGATTTGGCAGAGCCACAAAAGCATCAAGATCCAGTTGAAGAATCTTATTGGAACCTAAATCTAAGACACGGAGATTTGGCAGGTTCCTGAAAGCTGCTTTTCCTATGGTAACAGGAAAGATATACTGTGCTCCAATTTCCAACAGCAACAAGTGCTCTAGCAGTGGGAATGAAGTTGCATTCACTTGTGTGATGTAGTTGAAACTTAGCAAAAGCTTCACAGTATCCTTTGGCACAAATGGAACATCAGTGAGGTTGCAGAAATGATACAGGGAAATCTGGCCTTCTGAATAACAGCTTCTAGATGCATAGATATCTCTAGCTAGAGATATTCCAAAGACAAGTACTAGTTGCTGATGTAACATCATTAATCTGTATGAAAAGAAAAAAGTGAAGACAGTAGCAATTAATTATGAAATTAACTATCTACCCAATAAGGTTATTTAGAATAAAACACAAATGTCACACTAAAAATGACTAGTGATTTTGGAATGTATTTTTCTCTTAAAGTCTAATGGGCAGTTGGTAGTCTGGCTGCGCGGACGATGGGTTCCGAAGAGATTTGAGCACCTAATAATCCCATAATCCTCCTTTATGTATCTCAGGGTGAGCAACAAATCCTATCAGTTAAGCATGAAAATCTTGGCCTAGCTTTTTAATTTACATCTCTGAACTGACACTAGAATATTAGCTTAAAAATCATGCCTTAATCAGTTATCCAAACAGGCTTCCACTGTTTGGACTACAAGCACTACTCCAACCACCTCCACAGAGCAGGCAGCAGCATAGTCTTTCCCTGAGCCCTCTCCTTGTGAGGGTAACCAGTGAAGCTGGTTGGAATTCAGATTGCTCTGCCGGAGCACTGCCTAACTTAGCCATGAATTTTAAAGAGAGGAACTTCATCCGGGGCTCCATGACTCTGAGATGAACCCTGCAAAGTAAAACTGCTCTCAAAAAAGGTGGTAAAACATCTTTGAGGGTGTAGGCACAAACAGGGCTAAGGAAAATGCTGCAGCCTAAATCAGTGCTGCAAGAGTTCATGCTTGTGGTCACTAATTATGTGATGTAAATTCACATTTCTATGAAAAAACTACATTTGCTGAAATGTAGAGCTCAGTATATGTGATTTTGTTTCACTCTACTGTGGTGCTGTCAGAAAGAGGAAGTGAGAAAGGGAAGGAGAGAAATAGGAAAAGGAGGAAAAAGGGAGGAAAAGCTTTTGCAATACTAAGTTCTAAGCAGAATATGTTTCATGTTTCAGATCAAAGTAAAGAATTTTTATACTGGAAGATGGACATTTTAACCTAGATCTAAAGACAGCAAGCATATGCATACAGAGTACAAATATTCTAGCTCAGGTCTCAGGCTGCTTGGAGAATTTGCTTCTGAATGAGTGAAAGGAGATCCACTTGTTTTGAGCAGTCTGGAACTGACCTGTGCTGTTACACCAATTTTTTTTTCTTTTTTTTTTTTAAGGGAAAAAAAGAACATGTTATGTTGACTTCGTTTTAATTAGGTAGAAGCCTTCAACCACACCAGTAAAAAAATGTAGGTAATTAACAGTCTTGATGGGGAGATGCTGTAGTTCCTGTCCAGGTTGGTACCGCTGTTCGTACCTTGGGATACCTGCAGATAGTATCAGTGAGCTGACATACTGAAAATACAGCTGTGAGGACAATCCAGGAAAGAAGCCAAAAGCAACACCTACTCCCATGGAGAGTGGCAAAACACTTGCCATTCTCTTTTCCAAGCTCCCCAAAAAAATTCTCTGGAGGTCAAAGAAGAAAGAGTACGCTACTTATACCATATTCATCCTTGCTGATGGCTGAGAATATTTATTTACTTTATTTATTTATTTATTTAGCAATGTGACATGCAAGGAAATTCAGCGTTCTCAGGAGTGGTCTGGTGCTGAATCAGCTTTCAGCAGCGTGTCCACTCTCCTTAGCAGCCTCTGCTGTGTATGCCATTCAGTGTAAGCCAAATAAGAACAAGCCCATGCCAGTTCAACTGAGCAGAGGAACTGTGCACCCACCTCTGGAACAGGTTACTTGGAATAATTCTGTGAACATGAATACATGAATAATGGTTATTCAGGCATTCAGGATGTGGCTGGCAAATTAAAACAAAAAAAAAGACAAGACAGAGGTAAAGCTGGTGGACTTTTCATTGCACAAGGAAAAAGGAATGCAAGTAGTTTGCTTGTGCTAACTTTCATGAGAGCCATTTTACCATTTTGTGCGGGTCCCTGAATCATAGGGTCTAGGTACGTGTGCACACATGTGCATCTATAAAAGCAGCAGTATCTTTTGACAAGTGTGTGTAAATCTCATCTCCACTTACAGCAAGCCTACAGGAGGAAAAAAAAAACCATATTTCTCTAGCCAAGTTGTAAGCTCCCTCCCACCCGGCTCCAAAGCCAAAAGCCTTGCTGTTGGAACAGCAGGACGTGAAAGCTCCCTTGAAGGCCGCATGAGTGCTGCTTTCATGGTGGCTGTTTGCAGAATTATTTATCAGAGACAGCACAAAAATCTCCCCAGAGAAAGGGAGGAATGAAAGAAAGGTTCAAACAATTTTGGAATGAATTTCTTGCCTGTAAAATCAGTGCATGAAAAATATTCCCCTTCTCTTCCTCTCCATATGCAAATGCACTGTGCACTAAAGAGATAGAGAGGGACCATCTTAATGGTCTCATATGATGTTTTTTCCTACAGTGAGATGGCTTTGTGCATGCAGTTACACTGAGTTAGCTTAAAATTTGACCATTTGATCTGCCCACTGGTTTCAACATCAGTGTACCACTTCGCTTATGAAGGTTTTCATATGATATTTAAGCCAACTTCCACATGTACATGTCCCCATGTCAGGCGAACATAATAGAAGTTGTTTTCTGCTCATTTAAGCAAAACTCCAGGGCTTGTACAGTTTCTATTAACAGGTTTCTAAGCAGCATGGAGCAACACTTATGCTTCTGGCCAATTCTAAGATTTGCAATAATTCTCCAATTTTGAATCTTATCATCAGTAAATGTTTCAATGTAAAGGTCATATTATTTTAAATCTATCACTTCTGATTTTTGGTGCTTATATATATACACATCTGTTACAATTTCTGCCTTCCTCTTACTTTCACTAGCATAACTATCCTGCCTAATAGGGATACTGTAGAGACATAAGTACAATTAAGATGTAATAAACTGGAGTTCCTGGCCACGTAGAGCTTCTGATTCCAGTTTGAAGTAGTTACAATCATAGAACGAAATTGTTCTAGCATATAGTGTCTCTGTGCAAACAGAGAATCCTACATTATTGGATGCAGCATGTTCTTCCCAGAGCAGAAACAACAATCAGTTAAATCATTTTGGGGCAAGGGATCAAGTGATTCCTAGAGGAGTTAGTAACAGACCTTCCTGCCAGAAGCTGGCAAAGTGCAGCACTGACATACACCAAGATAACCAATAATAAAATCGGATGCAGATGCAAAGCATATGGGCAGGAAAGAACCCCTGAGAAAGGGGAAAAAATAGCAGGAGGAGTCTGGAAGCTATGAGTGGGTGAGGACATTTTGCTTAGCTACAAGATAAGCCTGATTCAGTATAAACAAACTAGGCTCCCAAAGTCAAAAGATTCTGATTCAGTCCATGAATTCCGGAAGAATGATGACAAAGTCAAAGAAATCCCAATTCTTTCTTCTCTTACCTCTTTCTAACCCAGTTTAGTTTTCAGAACAAATGTTAGGAAATTCTGATTGTACTAGAGTTTAAAGAGCATTTAAACATTTATTTGTGCATTTATAACTGATCCTTGGCCATTAGTGCTTCAGCCAAGGACCTTTTGGAACATAACGTTATTGCTTGGAACAGCTCCAGGAAAAGGGGAATGGCAGAGAAAACAGTTCGTTAAAGCTTGGACACAGTAACAGGAAACTGCTGAGCTGTAAGGTATGACAAAACACACATATAAGTTGTTGGCACTTAGGGCTGAAATGGTCTCATGCTGTTTACCAGTGAGGGACAAGAACACCGGGCAAGCCCAGAAATGCCACAGGAGTTTACGTGAGAGTTTGTCTTTCTAATCCTAAACAGAGATTTCAGATGGCAACAATAACGTCAGTTATCTCCATCGTTTCTGCTTCAGACCTTTTCTGCCCACTTTTCTTATTTTGACCATACTGCAGCTTAGGTATGGACCAAGCAAGCCTGCATATAAAGGATGTTTAAGCTCTGCATTAGTATCACCCACTGCTTCTCTCTTCTTTCCACCTGCATATTTGGTCTGTATGCAACAGAAAGACCAAAGCTTTCTGCACAGTCAGAAAAATACCTCCAGCTCCTCATATAGGCCAGAAAGCATGGAAAAACCTAGGACAGACCATGGACAATGATGTGTCATGGCCATGTCGTGGGGCTAATGAATATTTTCACAGTTCTGACTTGCTGCATGAGTTACAGTTCTGTTTCTGATTTCCTCTAAGGGAGCTGTTACATGGTAGGGAGTGTCACTTGCTGTGGCTACACAGCACCTACCTGATTTGAATTGCATTGAGTCTTCTGTGTAAATACTCAACGCTTGCAAAAGCAACTGGATTGAGAAATCAGAAGTTACATATGGGATCTAATTACCTAGATCCTGTTCATCATTTAGATTTGTTTCGATATGCCCTCAGGCTGTATGATAATATGAGGACACCCATGCTTTAACGGCAGTATGATCCCCATGTTCTTATATTATTGTAGATATTTAAAACAAAGTAGTCTCTAAAGGCTGGGAAATAAAGTAACATCTACATGACTAAAAAGACTCTGGACTGCTTCTATAGGGGAACAGGAGAAAGCCTGACAGGCCCCTGGACTGGAACAGTCCCAGCCCAGTTGATTTTAGTGCGTGCAGCATTTAGTGCCTCCCTCCTAGGAAGCGGCTCTCTCTGCTGCAGGAGCAGCCAGCAAGGCCGGTTAGTCCGGTTAAAGGCCTCACCACCGGGCACTGGTCCATCTGCCAGCAGTGGCCCGGGTCCCATCCATCATCGTTGTGCTGATAAAGACTGATGAATGCTGAGAGCCTCAACCACAGATGTGAAAAGAGTCTCAAGTCTCTTATGCACCTGCAGGTCCTAAGGAAATGCTCTTCTCAAGGCTTCAGGGCGGATAGTTAGGATCCCTGTTTTTACAGTTTGCTGCTGTGGTTGTTTCCTAGTTGAGACACTTGTTAAAAGCCGTACAAAGCTACCAAAGCAACGATGGCCGCTGAGACACTCTTGCCCCTCACCCGGAATCCATGCTGACTGTTCTCCCTTTGCAAACTGTCATGTGGTTAAGTGTCTGGTCTAGACTAGCTGCCACTTGAAGGAAGCAGCATTTCCCTCATTTTGTGATGGTGAA